TGTGTGTGTGTGTGTGTGTGTGTGTGGAGAGAGACAAGTGTGTGGACTTCTGCAGACAATGAAATCATGCTGTTCCAGATCTCTATCTTGGTCGCCCTGAGGACACTGGCATTACTTCTCCAACACTGTGCAGTCTGGACTGTTTCACAGACTAACTTCCTCTTATCTCTGATCAGAATTCAGGAAAGGGACCGGGAAAGCTCCTGCATGTCCTGGCAGTAGCACAGAGGTGAGCCAGCAGGAAAAGAGACCATTTAAATGATCCATGCCTTGGGGCCAGTGAGCCAGACAGAGATAAAGGGTTTGAAAAGGCCACAAACCCATTTCATCTGAGCCCAGAGCTGAGATGTCCCTCCCCCTACCCAGGACTTCTGAGGCTCACTCTATCATCTCCAGCCCATACTCCTTACCAGGTTTAGGGTCCCCAGCATGACATTCAAGGTGTTCATTTCCAGCTTGACCAGCTGCTGTCGGTTGACTTTCACCTTCACGCAGTAACTGAACAATTTCAGGAGCACCTGCCAAGAAAAGTCGGTCAAAACCCAAGAGGCCATCTTAAGAGTATAAAACGTGGGGACAAGCAAGAAAGAAACGTCTGAGAGGGGTCACATACAATCAGTAGGTACTCTTCCCAAAGTGCAGAGAAAAGAAAGGAAAAGTGTTTCTGGAGGGGACATGGTAAGGTGGGAAGGATCTCAGGCCAGACTGGTATTTTAAAGAGCAACATTCTCTGGCAATAGCCTACGTGGGCTTGGCATATCTCTACCATCTCTAAAACTATGGCAATGACACCAATTCCTAGTGGAACGGGTGACAATCTGTTGTACCAGGGAAATTCCAGTACTAACTCAGACTCTAATAGTGAACAGAAAGATTCCAAGGCTCATGGCCTGTGGGAGCTCAGAACCATGTAGGTCAGTTATTTATTTATTTATTTAATTTATTTTTCAAGTAACACTTTTCCTTTATCAAGACATGGGTTTGTTTTTTTCTTTTTACATTTTCAGATTGTAATTCTTTTAACGCTTTTTTTTTTTTTAATTCTTCACATGGTCATTTAGAACACGATTACAATAACGCATGTTCTCATATCTTCTGGAGCTGAAAGTAACAGTGTAATATTTATGGTGCCTTTGGGATCCTCTACTCCTTAGGAGATAGATGGATGAAGACCCAAACAAGATCCTACCAAATAAATAAAAGAACTACCTAGAAAATCAGTTTAAAAAGCAACAGTAGTTCATAATGGACTCAAGTGCAGTTTTGCGGGCAGACAGGCAGGCACTGGCCCCACAGGTGGCTGGAGAGACGTGGTCGAAGGCTGCCAGCGCACTGGCTCTGGTGGGGAGGGGCCAAGGGGGGGCACCCTACGGGACAGAGGGCTCGGAAGGCTGCCAGGCCCAGGGCTGCCTTGCCCTGGCCTGTGGCACCATGCCACCCTCTTAGGCTTACGTGGCACAGTGGCCACAAGCTTCTCTCCACAGGGGCCACTCTCAAAGCAGAGGGCTGCTCCCTCCTTGTTGCCCCCAACTCACGGTGAGAAGGTGGCGTCCCTGCTTGAAATCTCTGATCCCGGCCAGTCTGTTGAGCATGCACTCCAGGCCCCCACACTGGGCCATCACACCAGCCATCTTATACACTTCCTCTTCATCTTCTTCTTCATCTGAGGGAGGAGGGAAGCCACACAGAAATGGCAGGGAAGGGAAGGATGGAAATAAAACAGATAATCCTTTTCCGGGCTGACCACTAGTTTCCTCTTTCTTATCTCCAAGAAAAGCATAGCAATAGAAGGGATCAATACTGGATATTAAACTATGAGACTGGGGGCGCCTGGGTGGCTCAGTCGTTGAGCGTCTGCCTTCGGCTCAGGTCACGATCCCAGGGTCCTGAGCTCCCCGCTCAGCGGGAAGCCTGCTTCTCCCTCTCCCACTCCCCTTGCTTGTGTTCCCTCTCTCGCTGTGTGTCTCTCTGTCAAATAAATAAATAAAATCTTTAAAAAAGAATAAATAAACTACAAGACTAAAGCCAATTACAATTATTTATTCAAATATATGAAAATACAAGCACCACCACCACAAAAAAAAACAAAGCAAAAAAAACCCCCCAAAAACCTAAGCTAAAAATAAATCTGAACTCAAGTTTGTTGCTAACTGCACTTTATTCCCCAAGTTTGTTATTGTTGTTCTTTTAACTCCTGAGGGGTCTGAATCAGGCCATAGATGCCTGTACTTTTCCTCAGTTGGAGAAGTAATCTCCCGTCAATTCCAATCAGAGCTACAGAACAGTGTGTGTTCAGAATACCCCTAAATCCCAGGATGTGAACCACTCACTGGCCCCAGACCCCCCACCCAATGTGCAGCAGTGTCTGTGGGGAGGGCCTACCTGTGGTGGAGTCCAGGGACTCGATAAACTCCTCGGTGGCATCGCCCAACAGCCCGCGCATGCGGTAAACAATCCTCATGGGCTCTCCCTGAGCAGAGGCAGGTAGACAAAGGTGCTTGTAAACAGGCCCAGAAAATGCAAAGGACTCAACACCTGGACTTGTTCTTCTATTTCTCTACAAGGTCTTACCCACAACATCTAGAATCCAAGCATACTGCAACTCACGTAGGGTAAAGGAAGCTAATTTTATGCAGTGTCTACTATGGGCCAAGAGTGGGTGTGAACCATTTTATAAACACATTCTCATTTAATTTCATTAAAACTATACGTAACAACGATAATCACTATTATGTATTGAGTGTTTAACTCTGTGCTAAATTCTATGCTAATGGAGCACTTCACATCATCCTCTTACACTAGGTTAAACAGCTTTTTCAGAGTTATCCAATGATAAGCACAGTCTAATCCCAAGCCTGTGCCTCCTTCAGGAGCACAAATTCTAACCAACGGGGACCACTTCCCAAAGAATCAGGACAAGCAAGATCAATCAGATCAAAGAGCTTTGATTCAAGACTCAGGAATCAAAAGCAAGAGCATAATCCAATCCTGAGGTCTTCACATAATCACGTGACAAGGAAAGGGTTCTTCCAAAATTACTGAAGTTAAAACCTCTAACTTGATGGAATGATTAGAAAGAAGTCTTTTGTAAACTTTACTAGACTGGAGGATGGTGACAGGTCACTATACACCGGGCATTAAGTTAAGCACTCTCCCATCCACATTATTCTTATTTTGGAATTAAGAAACAGGGGTCTGAAGTCACCCTGTATGAAATAAAGTTGAAGAGCAGGTACCACATTAATTCAAGTTGACTGCCTCTAAGCCTACGCTCAGCTTCAGGAGAGGAAACCGTCCTGGGAGAGAACCTGTCAGAAAGGCCGCTTGCAGAAGTATATTCCCAGCTATCAGAGCCCAATGGGAACTTAGAGAAAGAACGGCTGGACAACAAGGGCAGAAAAAGAGACACAGAAAACAGAATAGGCTCAGGGCGCCTGGGTGGCTAGTCGGTTAAATGTCGGACTCTTGATTTCAACTCCGGTCATGGTCTCAGGGTCGTGAGACAGAGTCCCGTGTCAGGCTCTGTGCTCTGCGTGGAATCTGGTTGAGATTCTCTGTCTCCTTCTGCCCCTCCCCCTGCTCGTGCGCTCTCTCCCTTGCTCTCACTCTCTCTCAAATAAAATCTTGAAAAAGAAAAACAGAACAAGCTCTAGTCAGCAGCTAAGGAGACAGGCTGTTTATCATGGAAACAGAGGGGTGGAGTCAAAAGGCAAGTTGATGAAGGCCCTGATAAAAAGGTTCCACAAACTCTGGACTTTGCCAGAAGAACCCTTCAGTGGACTGAGTGCTAATGTGAAAGGCGGTGACCCTCAACTTCTTCCTTGCCTTGTAGTACAAAAGGGGAGCTGCCCATGGATGCTCTTTGGGTTCCATACCACCATTTCTAAGGACAGCCATACAAGCTTGGTCTTTATTTTTTGTGTGCCAGGGATCAAATCTGTACCATCTGTTTTGATGCTCAAGTGTCAATGACAAGATCACTGGATGGGGCAATCTTCTGTGCGGACCTCTGCCGCTGACAGTACCCACTGACCAGGATTCCCAGCACAGCGGGAGAACAGAAAGGAGACAAGCAAAAATATGTGACAGACTGAAGGCCAAAACATACTAGCAGACACGACCAATTTAGTGTCTCAAACTCTCGAGAAATATGTGGGACTAAATCAGAAAAGTTTACCGTGCTTCAAGGGCACGCTGGCTCGCCATTCTTCAGTTACTTGTTTGACTCACTGACTAAAAATTCCCCAACAAAGGGATGCAAAGAAAAGGGAAGGAAGGGAAAGAAACAGAGAAGGAGGAAAGGAAGGAACAGGGGAGCGAGGGGAGGGAAAGAGGAGGGAGAGGGGAAGCAGAATATCTGAGACCCTTAGGAGAGGTCAAACAGTACTGAGGGGGCCAAAGGACCAGAGGGCCATGTTTCCTTCATTTCCCTCTCCCCCCGTCAAGAACTGCCTGTTTACATCTCAATTCCGCAGCTAGTCACACAGGAACCATGCTCGCTCCTTGACACCACCACTGGAAAATGTTCTAAGTGAGCAGGCCCCTAAAAAGCAGAGAGCTCATCTCGGTCAAGAGATGCCCGTGTATAAATGGCACGAGGCAGCAAGCACCCCCCATCACATGCTTCCTCCGACACCGCCCGGCCCGGCTGCACACAGCCAGAAATGCTCATCCTCTCCTGAAGCTCTTCCACCTCTGGCCAGATACCTCAAAAGGAGGACAAGACCACCGGTTTGCTCCACAACCACAAACAGGGAAGCCCGGCTGTGCAAGCACGGTTACCAACTGGGTAGTGACGATTAACAATGGCTCCTCCCGGTACAAGTCCGCCTAAGTCAGAAAAGTACAACCCCACCTCCAAGCAAGGAAACAAGCACATACCTCATTCGTGGTACACCAGACCTTCTTGTAAACCTCAGCCACAGGAAGATCCAAACTAATGATCTTATTGTTCACTAGAAGCTGAACAGCAGAGGAAATGAGGCTGTTATTGCAAATAATTATAAGGCAAGGACATTTCAAGATCAAAGGGCACTTCATAGCAGTGGTTCATAACTCATCATTTTTGTGTTCTGGGCCCATCGCCTCCCCGTCTCTAAAAACTGCACGTATGTGCACAACACACAGAATCTGGGACACAATTTCAGAGGCTACATGCACCCTTAACCCAAACCACGGACTCCACGTTAGAAACTGCTGCTGAGGACCTTCTGCTACCCAGAGTCCCTCTCAGGGTCTGCCAGAAAAACCATTTTCTCTATTTCCCCCAACACGCTTTCCCACCCCTAGATGATAAGGCCAGACCCTCGAGGTCGTCTGCCACAAGGTACTAGATACAGGGCCAGAATCTGCACAGGGGCCACTGTGCCAGTTTTAGGGAGCTTAATTAACTTGGAATCCCTGGGAAGTCTCTGTCAGAGCAATAAGAACAATAAACTACTCCGTGACAAGCAATAGCCACTAACCATTTGCTTACCGCATGCCAGGCATTGGGCAGAGCCCTTTATAGGTAATTAACCTTAACACCAGGTAAGGTACATAGGTGGGAACCACTGGCCCCATTTATAGAGGATGAAGCTGAAGCAAACTACCTGCCCAAGGTTAACTGGCTACTAAGCAGGGAGGAACGTGGATGTGACCCCAGCCCAAGTTCTTAACCACGGTGGCAATGTCCTATGCTTGTTACCTCCATCCCGCTGTCGTCCTCCAGGAGAGCCACCAAGTCACAGTCCTGGCAAATCTTGTTCTTTATATCCCTCATAAGTGGCCCAATGCCTGGCTCATTGCTGCTATATGGGTTCCCGGGCATCCTGCCCTGTAAGAAGTCTTCTTGTTGCGGGTCCTTCTCCAGGGTCACAAAGAATTCAGTGACTTCATTCTCCTCCTAAAGGACAGAAAGAACGACGCACCGGCAGGAATGGCATTAAAGACACCAGAGAGGGACGGCAGAGGCCTTTCAGATTTAGACCATCCTACTTTGTTCCATGGACACTGAGAGAAACATACACTCATCCAGCCTCTTACACATTTTAAGATATAAATGATAGGAAATTCAGGGCTGATTCCAAATACACTTCAAATAGCCTTCAGTATCAAGCATCTCCTCTGAAACTCAAGGGTGGAGTAGGAGAAAGCCTACCACAGTCAGCACGTGGGCAACGTAACAAAGCCATGTTACTGAACCAAGGGGAGGGGGGGCTTTCCTCCCGCTCACCTCAAGTGATGATAACCCATCTGCGGCCGGACGACTCTGGCACTAATGACCCCTATGTTGAGAGGAGGGTCCCTCCATCACATAATGCTCAGATGCGCCTAACCCCAAAGACCCTCATCATTAACTGATGACGCTAGTGTTTTTCAGCTTTCGTCTTTGGGCCACACCATGCTCTCGGATAGCTAGGCAAGGGAAACGCGCACACGCGCACGCACACACACACACACGTGTGCATCCACCAAACACAGGCAGGGGAAGAAGGAAGAGAGTGAGCATTTCTTCTCACTCTAGCTCCATATTGCTTCTTTCATGGCATATTGAATGGGTAAAGCAACAGGATCTTAGCAATGGGAAATTAGACCCCATTTTTAAGACTGACCTAGACCTTAAATCTAGGAAGTAAGACCAAGAAAGGTCATCAGATTTCCCATCATTAGGAGTCAGAAAACTAGGAGACTGACTGTGTTTGTCAGTGGAGCTTTCTAAAATGTTGACCAAATGACCCACAGCTGGTCCGACCGCCCATGACTGAGAGGCTTCCTAGCAGAATGACACACGCACACACCCTGGGAGGCAGAGGAAGAAGCACCGCTTACAGGATAAATGATGCTGCAGAGCCTCTCAAAGATGAACACAGGTGTCCTGTAATCATCCAGGTTGTAGCGCTTGGCTGTCTCAATGCACACAGCCATGAAGGCCTTGGTTTCCGATTCTGTACCTGCCAGAAATCAGTGGCCACGTCAGTTAGGAGAGAGCTTCACACACACAAACCCCAATGAGACTTTACGTGCACAGTCACCAACAGGTTCTTCCTTCTTGGTAAATTTGCAAATGCCCTATGTGGCAGTATCAATATTTCAATTAGAAACTTGAAGCTAAATGATTTGATGCTTAGACCACATTCCATTTGAAAGCCCCAGCACCCAAGTCAACACAGTGCATCACGGTTAGCTGTGCACACCTCTTGCTTCCTCTCCGAATGATCACCTCCTTAAGGAGAGGAACTATGCTTTACTCAGTGCACATCCTCTTGCCCAAAACAGGTACTCCAAAATGTCAAATAATAATCCTAATTGTATTCCAGGAGAATCAAAGGGAAGTCATATATAGCTTTAAGCTTCAGTCTTAAAACGATTAGGTGGACTGCCCTCTACAAGCCAAAGAGACAATTTCAAGTCATAGGAGAAGGAAGAAATATGCTTCAAAAGGGTCCAACTGTGGGGCACCTGGGTGGCTCAGTCAGTTGAGCGTCCGACTCTTGGTCACAAATCCTCACTGGAGAAACCCATATTTGGCTTGGCTTCTAAAGAATTTCCACAGAGGCACCTGGGTGGCTCAGTCGGTTAAGCGTCCAACTCTTGGTTTCAGCTCAGGTCGTGATCTCAGAGTCTTGAGATCAAACCCCATGTCAGGCTCTGGCACTCAGCAGGGAGTCTGCCTTTCTCTCTCTGCCCCTCCCCCTGGCTCACACTCTCTAAAATAAAAATAAGTTTTTTGAAAAAAAAAAAATTCCACAGATAAACCCTTGAAACATGAGTGCATGAGCTCACAGTCAAAAATCACAAAATACAAAAAGATTTAAGGCACCAGAAGCAAGAGCTGGAATAACAAACAGCAGAATCAAATGGATAAGTATTTCAAGCCTTGGAATTATCAGACACAGAAATGTTTGCTATTCTTGCAAACTACAAGATAAATGGGAAGTGTGAATGAAACACAAGAGCCTATAAAACCTGTAGAGAACCACAAGGACTCAACAGTTAGACTAAAGAGCTAACACAGTGAAGAAAAAATGAACTAAATGAAAGAAATGAAGAAACCCTCCGGAGTCAGCAGAAAGAGACAATGAGATGCGCCCCGTGACGGAGCGGTAAAGAGAGACGGAGGAGAGGGTGGTTTCTACAAGGATGACAGAGAGATCGGGGCAAAGGCAAATGAGGAAATGATGGCAGAGAATTTTCCAGAACCAGTGAAAGATACCAATTTGAGGACACATACTTCCTTCTGTTCTATAAGCTTAATATAAAATGTCTAAATGGGGGACGCCTGGGTGGCTCAGTGGGTTAAGCATCTACCTTCAGCTCAGGTCATGATCCCAGGATCCTGAGATCGAGCCCCTCGTCAGGCTCCCTGCTCAGCAGAGAGCCTGCTTCTCCCTCTCCCTCTCCCTCTGCCTCTGCCTGCTGCTCTGCCTACTTGTGTGTGCACTCCCCCACCCTCGTCAAATAAATAAAGTGTTAATTAAATAGATAAATAAATAAGTAAAGAAAATAAATAAAATGTCTAAACAGACTGAGCCCAGCTCTGGAATTTTACAGCTCCAAGAACCAGAGCTTCTCTCCCTCTCTCCTCAAACGTGGAGAGACGCCTGCCACCGGCCTCCAGCAGGAACGCCACCCCCACTCCAGGCCGCTGGGCAGGCGCTACCTGTGGTCATGTCCTCCAGCATCTCCAGCAGCATGTCCTGGGTCTCGTCGATCAGCTTGGTCCTCTGCACCACCAGTTTTCGCAAGCATAGGTACCCATTCAGCACAGTACCTACCAAGCGACTCTTAAAGTGTCTTTTGATGGACTCCACCTCGACAAAGGAGGAAAGAAGCCCTGTGGGGACAGGAAAAAGCTGCTGCAAGGGCTCTGAATGAGAACGAAGGCAAGGAAGGTCCACATCTTCCAAAGGTTATGAGCAACTCCAAAGCAACTTCCGAGCACAGAGCGGGTGCTCAAGGAAGTGAACTGGTCACCGGCTAACAGGGGCTCAAAAACGTAAGCCCACCCGAGACGGGACACGCAGAGCTTACATATGTACAGAGTCAACACAAGAGGGAACAGTCAACCTCCGCGCCCCAGGAACCAAGGTCAGCCCGCAAACTAGACCCAGGGTACCTAAGGGAAGGGCCCGGCAGCTACGTCTACCTGTGAGACTTTTGAGGGCGTAGCCCTGCTGCAGGTCAGTGCTAAGGGTGGCCTCCTCCAGGGCCAGCAAGCGGGCGATTTCCTACATGGGATGACAAGCACAGTTAGTGACTGCTGACATCGGCCCCCTCCAGCTGCGGTCCAGGAGCCCACAACATCAACCAGACGCTCTGCAGTCACCATTCTGTTCCCATGACCTCTTGAGCTGAACCTCTGCAGAACTCCTAAGAAGCTGAGGGCAGTGCCAATGACGTTAAGGGAGGGCTTAAAGACTCAGAATGGCCGAAATGCCCCCAGCAAGTTGTTACCTCCTTATGATACACAGAGCCACAAAGATCAATTTTTTTCAACAAATATTTCTTCTCCGCAAAGAAGAGTAGCACAAAGTCTACATCAGGGGACTGTAATGAGAGCAGGACTGGGGAAGGGCTCTCCTGAGCGGGGGGGGGGGGCAGCGCAGCTACCTTGGTGATAAGGTTGCCCACGTAGGGCAGGACTCCCCGAGCCGCCAGATAGACTTTCCAGTGGGCCGAAGTGATGAGCTTTTGGTAGAGAGCCAAGTACTCGGCGGCACACTCGCCAGCTATGCTCAGCTCGTCCAAGTAGCTGCCCCGAGAAAGACAGGACACCGTGAGAACGCAGCTCCAGGGGCTCCAGCAGCCCCCCTCTGCTCATGTCGTCTGCTGTCCTGGGCTCCCCCTTCCTTCTGGGCACCTGAGAAAACCCCAAACTTCCCCCTTGGGAACTCCCCACACGTGGGGACAACCCGGCGCACACAACAGGAGCGTGATGCAGTGATACCCACTTGGATCAACCAGCACCAAAATGCACAGTGCTTCTCTGGGCAGCGAGACTGTGGTTTTGAGTGGCTCGTGGAGAAGGCAAGTGTACCACAGGGTTTAGTGGCCGGCAGCCTGGGCTTTGGAACCCCACTGCCTGAATTCGAATCCGGCCTTCAGCAGACAAGTGCCCAGCCGAGGCAAGCCCAGGCCACCGTGAGGGTGAAATGAGACGGCACAGCCTGCGCGTTCCTGTATCGTCAGACCTCAACGGCCGCAAGCTGCCAGCGCCCCTGCTCTGCTACCACCCCTAGTACGACCACTCACTCAGCTTCTACGCCTTTCCTATTTCTGTGCTTTCCACACAGCACGGCCTGGGTACGGAGCCTGGCCGTGCCCTCCATCACCCTGACCTCCGGACCCCCCCCAGGAACATGGGCAAGGCCGAGCCCAGAGTGTGAGCAGTACCTGGTAAGGAGGTCAAGGACCTGCTGCTTGCGGCTGGGAATGGTGGCCAGAGCTTCCACGATGGTGCAGGCTGCCTGGCGCGCGGCCTGCGTCGCCGGGGTGAAGAGCACCTGCGGGACACAGGCCAGAAGCCCCGTCTCAGGTGACGGCTGGTCTTGCCAGGTCCCCAGCAGGGCACAGTCCACCGCCACCCTGCCAGAAGGCCTCTGAGCACCTCTCCATGGAAAGGTTAAAGGTGAACAGCACCAGCTAACGCCAGATGCGACTGTGGCTGCCCGGGAGCCCCCTATTTCATGGAGAGTTGTTCCCCCAAGCAATCTGGAGAAACCACCTATGATGACTGAGCTAGGAAAACAAGCCAGCAAGTACTTTCCTCGCACAAATTGCTGTTAACTCTATTCTGAGGATAACTATATGTTAAATGCTTATAACCTAATAGTGTCTTTCTTGTCTTATATATGAATGGATCAATGGATGCCCTGAATTACCTTAATCCTTCACAAGGTTCGCTAGAACAGAGAGGGAGAGGGCAGCAGGAGGTAGGGATGACAGAAGGAGAAAAGGGAGGGGTGGCACCGAGGCTTAGTTCTGGTAAGCGGCCAGGGAGGAGAGTGGCAAGCCCACCAGCTTGATGAGAAAGGCACAGAAAAATCCTGTCTTGACCAGTCTATCACACTGCTGGCTGCAACCAAGCACCTCCCTCTGCTTCCAGTCTGAAAGGAAGCAAAAGCAGAGTGGACACGTGGGGAGGAGCAGAAACGCGCTGCTTGGCATGGGGGGCTGGGGCAGTGAGGAGAGGGCCAAGGACGAGCTCACTCACTTGCCGCAGCCAGTTGTTATGGCCCAGTTTGAGATCCAAGGGGGGGGTCCTCTTCCCGCGACGACTCAGGAACTGCTTCCATCTCCACACGTACTTCTCGGTCAAATAGAGGTGGCGGAGCTCTGACTTGCTGGGGGATTTCCCATTGCCATCTATCCCTGGCAGGCACAGGGACGCAGCAAGGCGTAAGGAAAAGGAAGTGACAGAAAGGGGGGATTGTAGGGCTGTCAGGACAAGGGTCAGGGGACCAGACTTTCCTAGTCCTGAAGAGACAAACACACCTCTGATAGGAAGACATTTCTTCCAGGCTTCGTAGGATGCTTTGGGGTCTCTCTTGAGCCACAGCTGAGCCTGGGCATGGATCTCATTGCAGTACGGCTTAACTGTGGTGAGGGCCTCGACGGGGACATCCTGCAGGGGGAAAGCCGAACAGGGTGGGGAGCTTCAGAGCACAGCTGAGCTGGGCTCCAATACAATGGCACCAGACGCCCCAGAGGAACATATGCAAAAGCAAGGAGATCAGAAGGATCAACATATCAGTTATGTGTGTTCCTGTTCCAATATGTGTTCCTGTTAAAGCATTTTGGCCCAATTTAGTTAGAGCAACATTTCCACGCTGGACTTACGGTCACTGCTTTGTGCAGGATAAGATGTAGCTGGCTTCCTACAGACCATCCTTCGGCCGCAAACACCAGGTCCTATCCCAAGCCTGACTCACAGTTCCCTAAACGTCAATCTTCAAGGAGTCCCTAAGCAGTCTCCAGAATTTTAAGAGCCATTACTGAGCAGAACTAGCGTGCAGAGCAGAGGGACCCACACAGCACTCTAAGCCAGCCGTTCTCAAGCCTTTTGGCCTCAGGACTCCTTTACAGTCTCAAAGAAATTACTGAGGACCCTAAACAGCTTTTGCACATGTGGTTCTATCGATATTTACCATGTTAAAAATGAAGCATAAGAAATTCTTAAAATATTTACTAATTTCATCTTAAAGAAAGAATTAAATCCACTACCTATTTACCTAAATGACACTTATGTTTCCAAAATAAAAATCATCTAAAGGAGTGGCAATACTTTATGTTTTTGAAAATTTGCTTAATGACTGCCTTAATAAGACAGGTAGACTCCCCGACCTGCTTCCGTGTTCAAACTGCTGGGAGATGTTGTTTGGGTTAAAGTACATGAAAAAACACCCAGCTGCACACAGATACATAGTTGGAAAAGAGAAGAATGTTTTCGTAATCTTCTCATTTAATTGTGGATTTCTTCCTTTGATACTACTTTTAGCAAGTTACAGGTTCTTAAAGATTGGCTGTCACATGGAGACTAAAATCAATGGATAAACTTTTCAGAGTCCGTTAAACACTAAAACTCATCTTTTACCCGTGCATGATTCTTTAGCATGTGCTGGTCATTCAGGAAATACTGGCTCACTGAATTAGGTCAATTCCTCTGGACGTGACAGGCCCGCTTCATTCGTTTTTCAAGAAAATGTCTGCCAAACACCCAATTCTGAATAACCACAACTGGCCTGGTGCACATTTTCCCAAGCATACAGGAGCTCCGTAAGAAAAGCAGCTGGCTCAGCCTGCATCTGAAACAATCACCCGCGTGCTTCAAGACGAGCACCGCACTTCAGCGTGCAGCAGGAGCACTCTGTGTTCTTCCACACTGTCACACTGAGTATTCAAAACATGAGTACCCCAGAGTCTAGATTTACTAATATTCACTTGTGCTGTTTCCTCAAGGATGCCCTTGAGACAAAGGGCACGGCAGTGGGGAGCCCAGCTAAGGGTCGCTGGGAGCCGCTACCTTTCCCACTGGGGCCCCGGTGGCCTCACCCACCGGTGACTGTGTAACATCAGCACCAACGGCGCCAGACCGCTAGGGGCAAACAGGGTCGTAGGAGGATTATGAACCAGACGTCAACCTCACAGATTCCCCAGTAGTCTGGGGAACACCCAGGCACCTGGGAGCCCAAATTTTGAGAACTGCTGCCTTCTCTAGGCTAAAACTAAGCACGGTACAAACATCGACACTGGGCTCCAGTGCTCAGAGGGTAAGCAACTCTGCAAATCTGTTGCCTCAGGAAAAAGTGATGGTTAGGTGCAGATGGGGTTCCTCTTCAATCAAGGACTATTTTTATCTGCTGAGAATGAGTTCTGTAGGGAAATAAACCTCATCAAAGGGAAGGAAGATGGGTTCCCTCAGCCCTGCCTTTTCTAAGGACTATCTAGGAAGACGGGGGTCAAGGAAAATGTAGTCAATTCTTCAGGATCCAGCTTCTTCCCTAGTGCTTACCACTCAGAAAGCAGCCTTCCTACACTTTTGAAGACTCTGTTTCTATCGAAGGACTCCATCAGGAAATGGAGCAGGGGTCAAATGGCCCAAGGACCGCAGAGAGGTAAGGGACAGAGAGCCTCAGGCATGGCCGAGAGGAAGAATTACGGCCCGGGTTTTCCACAAGCCAGTACAAGCAGATGAACCTGGGGCTCAGCTATCGTTATATTAAAATAAAAACTTGGCTTTCCTCATTCACTTAATGATCCACTGAGTGGCTATCATCTGCTAGATATTACACTCTGCCCTGGACACTAAAAATATTTCTAAACTGGGGCACCTGGGTGGCTCAGTCGTTAAGCGTCTGCCTTCGGCTCAGGTCATGATCCCAGGGTCCTGGAATCGAGCCCCGCATCAGGCTCCCTGCTCAGCCGGGAGCCTGCTTCTCCCTCTCCGACTCCCCCCGCTTGTTTTCCTTCTCTCGCTGTGTCTCTGTCTGTCAAATTAATAAAATTAAAAAAAAAAATTTTCTAAACTGACGTCCCTGCATTCAAGGAGCTCACGGGCAGCCTAGCAGAGAACTGGCTCTTCTAAGCAGCAGCTCGCAGAGAGGGCAGACCCTACGCAGAGAAGACTGCACGCAGCCACAGCCAACGTTTATAACGGACTAACACGAGCCAGGGTTCGGTGCACAGGATCCACATCAATTACTGATTCTTCACAACACTTCCATGTGTTGTATTCTCATTTCAGAGACGGGTAAACTGAGGAGCCTGAGTTAAGAACTTGCCCAAAGTCACGAGGTGAGTGAGGAGAAGAGCTGGGACGTGAAATCAAGAAGTCCGCTTCAGAGCCTGGGGACTTCACCACTGCGCAATGTGCGTAGGCAACGGCACAGGGACAGCAAAGAACACTGTGCTTTCTGGGAGCCTGCAAGTCCTCCAATGCGACTGGACAGTCCTCCAGTAAACCACCCTGTTCTAGGCTCTTGTATCTTCATGTCTATTTTACTCCCGACTTTCCTCTGAGAAACCTTCCTTCTCAAAAATCCCAACTCCTGTCTACTGAGCTATGGCAAAGGAAGCATTGGTGCCCTCCCACGGGCAGGCTGAGTGCAGGGTAAGGCAGAGCCTTTTACGAGGCAGGACACTGTGCTGGCCGGGGCGGGAGGGGGCCGCCGCCCTGCCCTGCCCTCTGTGACCCCCCGCCCAGTACCTTGTTCTTCTTGCTGGTTGGAGCAGGTGGTTTAATCAGCTTCTGCAAGATCCGCAGGCACATGAGGGTAATGTTCTCCACAACCACAGGAGTCTTAATGTTCACAGCCATGAGGAAAAGGCTGAGAGCTAGGGATAGGAAGGGCGGGCCAAGTTGCAGTCACAGAGCACCGTGTACCTGGCTCCAGCAAGGCTGTCCACGGCGGTTGCCCCGCCCCGCCACCTCTGTGGCTAGGACAGCACCCAAAGTCCCCACCCCCTCTCTGAAGAGCCCCTAACCAGATGTGGCCTAAGCTCACCACAGCGTAACCGGAGTTCCCAGCAGCTGTCCTCCTTCGAGATGGAATCTGTCAGCAACAGCATTTCATACTGAAGGCTGCTTGCCTAGAAGGCCAACGGGAGGAGGTATGAGAAGAGGAGGGTCTGCAGGTGAGACCCAGGACTGGGGCTTATGTCCAAGCTCTGCTCAGGGGACTCAGATCAAAGATGTCTGGTACCCGGTGGCACCATCAGAAAGAGAAAGGAGTTGGGCGCCTGGGTGGCTCAGTCAGTTAATCGGTTGCCTTCGGCTCAGGTCATGATCCCAGGATCCTGGGATCAAGTCCCGCATCAGGCTCCCTGCTCAGTGGGGAGTCTGCTTCTCTCTCTACCCACCCTCCCCTGCTTGTGATCTCCCTCTCTCTCAAATAAAAAAATCTTAAAAAAAAAAAGAAAAGAAAGAAAGAAAAAGGAGAAGTGGAGACCCCTGTCCTCCATCCGGCCAACCACCCATTTCTCTTCTCCTTCTGAGGCTGGCTCTGACCTGGGAGAGTCATTTTGGGTGAGAACTCTGCAGACTGCTGCTCCTTCCCTCCCCAGCCACCCCAGGGAGATTGGTAGAAAGAAAGCGAAGGAATGCAGAAAGAGAAAGAGGAAGAAGTCAAAGGGCAGTTATCTTGCTCACTAGATCAGGATTGGCCCAGTGGCCCTTCAAGGCAGTGGAGACTTTGCCAATAATCAAGTCGTTCATTTGCTGGGTGGCTTCTGGATTGTCTCTGGAGAAGCAAAGAAATAAAGAGTCCTGTTATCTACCACTGGCTGTGTCCCTCCTTCCCACCTGAAGGAGCACAGAAAAAAGGCACTCAATGCCCAGGGCCACCTGGCCTCTCCAGGGGCCTGACCACAAGACCGGCCCCACGAGACCCGAGTCTGTAACAGAGTGCCCATCGCAGCCACCTTTCCCGCAGTGGTCACCGAGGAGAGAGCAGCACCAGCATCCAGGAGATCCCCTCCCCGTGCACAGCCCAGGCCACAGAGCCCCCCGGCGCTGCCCAGTACACCGAATCCTCCAACTTCCGAATCCGACATCCCCCTGCCAGGATGGGTCACGACACTTTCCTCATCTTCTCCATCTGCCTCTAATTTCCCTCTCATGAGGTACCCACATTTCCTACCGAAGGCCCACTGTAACAACGTCTATATTAGTCACGACGACGTCAACTGTACCAGGCCACTTTCTCGCGTCCTACCCCATTCTGAATAAAATCCCAAGTCCTTACAATGGCCTAGATCGCCCGGGATCTGGCCCCCAGCGACCCCTGGTTCTCCTGCCCGTTTCCCGTGTGGCCTCCTTCACTCCACTTACACGGGCCTCTAGAGCTCCCGCTCAGTCCCTGGCACAGCCCTGCCTCTCGCTCTCACACATGACGTGTCCTACGCGTGCAGCCACAGCTGAGACATCTGCATGGCTCGTCCCCTTACTGCAAACACGCCTCCTCAAGCATCACCCCTCGGAGGTCTTCCCCAACCATCTCCCAGCAGTAAGCCCTGTTGCAGTCGGAGCGCCACCCCCGCTGTACCTCTCTTCACAATCCAATCTCCTGACAGACACCGGACTGTGCAAGTATGCTTCTGCAGGTCTCCCCACCTGGACTGCAGGCTCCAGGAAGCAGCGACTCTGCTCCATTTACTAGTGCGCACTCAGAGTCCAGAACAGTGCCTGGCATTCAGCAGACACTCAAAAAACACCCGCTGAGTCAGTGAATGAGCAATACAGCAAGAAATGGTTACCGATCACCTAATGTGTTCTGGAACTTATGCCACACACTCAATAAATCCAGCTCTGGCGACCACATCAGCACATACTAAGTAGTCAACAAATACGAGTTACTGTCCACAGGAATTATTCCATCCCACCCTCGCCATAAGCCTTTAAGGCATTTACTATTATCAGTATTTTTCAGACGAGGAAAACCTCAGCTCAGAGAAGTTAGCTAAGCTGTCCAAGGCACAGAACATCAGACACCGAGCCTAAGCTTCATCTTCCATGTGAGTCTGGAGTCCAAGTGCCCAGTCACTTCTTTCTCCTCTCTCACCAGAACCCAGACACTGTTCAAGAAACCTCACTGGAACCAACAAAGTACAAGACAAATATTCTCTTTACAAGGAAACCTGGTCTCAAATGTTCACGGAGTTCACTCACCCAGACCCTGGGCATCTCTCCCTCTTCCTCCCTTGTAATAAGTTAGCTGGCCTGTCTGGCAGCGACAAACACCACGCTTTGCACCCCAAGCTCCTAGCGTCACTGCCACCACCAACCCCCGAGCTAGCAGGAGTTACTGGGCCCACAATCCTGGTGCAGGCTCTGACCGAGTTAGCAGGCACATGAGCTGGCGGACCTCCTCCCGCATGGCTGCAGAGCCTCGGCGAAGATTGTAATCAAAGAGCTCCCGGATGAGGCCCTGGGAGACGAGGATGTGCCTCAGGGCCGGATTGGTGGCCAGGGCCCGGAGCAATGTGATACAGTGTTCTGTGACGGCCGAGGCGCAGCCATAGCACTTTGTAGAGGACGTGTGGCCACAGCCCAGGACGGATAAGGCGCGGTACTGGCTGGCGGTAAAAGTGGGCTGTACAGAGGTTCGGGATGATTTGGTGGCTGCTTCCCTCTGCTGCAGGTCATATTCCAACAACTCTTTGCGTGAAGCGAAGACTTTCTAAGGAAAAAAAAAAAAAAAGATAAAAGAAAAACAAATCAGCAATTAGAAGGAAGAAGAGAAAGTTAACTGGAAATCAGCTTTGGTCTGAAGGACTACTTTACATGCATTATTATATTACAAAGCAGAAAGCTGAGGCTTAGGAGAGCTGGTTTGCCCAAGGCAAGTGGCAGAGGCAGAACTCAGCCCCTGATCACAGGCACATGTCCTGAACTCCCATGTAATGCTGTCTCATAAAGAACAAACACGAAGATTAGAGGCAAAGGCAATTCTGGCGGCAAGGACCTGGCGTGTCTCCGGCCAGCCTCCTGTCCCGCGGACATTAGGTCAGTAGCACTGCACTGGCCGCCCGGCCCACCCTGGTTGACTGGCATTGGTGTGCCCTGCCCTTCCAGCCTACAAACATGGCATATCAGAAAGAGAGGCAACAGAACCCTGACACCCGGTTTTTAAAACCAGCATCCCCTCTACTAAAAGATGGGTTGTGAACGGGCCAAGGAAAACAGATCTAAAATAATCTATTACCCTCAGTCTTCTGGAACAAATTCAGGTCTCTGCCAAGCACCAGAAACTACAGTGTGAGAGAAGTTATACGGCGCAACCACCTAGACCCTGCCTTTTCAGCCAATCGGACAAGGGAAACCCAAGACTCCAACTGCTGGAGAGGGGCAACAGGACTGCTCTGAAAACAGCATGGGGAATGCACGACAGAACACTCTAGAGTGGCTCCCATTTCTCTACCTGGATGATTTTGGAGAGCTCATCGAAAGAGTTCTTGCAATCCCCACAGTACTCCTGAGCCAGCTGCAGAATGTACCGATTCACGCTGGCTGAAGTGGAGCTGATGCTCCCGGACGTCCCCGAGTCATCCTGCAACCCAAGAAGCATGCTGTTAGTCTCCTGCTTCTGACCCAGAGCCCTCTCCACATGCCCCTCTAGCCTGGGGTTACCTGTGGCTTTTCAGGGGCTGCCTCGTTCACTTTGCAGAGCAGGTTCTCCAGCTGTGGCCGGTGTCCCATCAGCTGGTGATACACTCGGTCAGCTTTGTCCAGAAGCGTATTGATGTTGGAAACAGCCTGGCAGGAAATGACAGGGGCATGTGTGAAGGCTTTTCCTTGAGTGATCCCAATTGCTAACCATTTCCTGAAACATTTCCTACAGGTCAGATGCTGTGTTTCATACATTCGTTATCTATTCCTCACAATAATCCACTGTGTTGGTGTGTTATTTGTAACAACATATAACATACTATATAACACAGCATATACATAAGTATGCAATGCTGAGAGAACTCATTGACACTAGGTCACACAGCACTGAAAGGCACAGCCGGAACTGAACTTTTGTCCCTTCTGACTCCACAGCTAAATGTTGTCCTGCTTCCCATGCTGCTTCTAGCAGCAATCCCAAAAGCTCCCCCCAACTCTGACTGTCACCTAATCCCCAGTCCCACCACACCATGCAGACTGAGAACCAGCCCCTGGGTAAGCTAACACTGAGGAAAGGCCAACAGCTGTTAATATGAGATATCTGTGGAACAAATGCAAGGCACTAATCCGACTTCTTTCAACCGTCCCAAATCTAAAGTCATTTGTCCCTGGAGACATTCTAGTTCATTGCCAACCAACACTTCCCTGAAGTCCTATGAAAATCACATGTTCCAATATATCCTACACCATTATTTGCTCCCACCCGAAAGCCGTGCCCTGAAGAGAGTGCGGAGATGAGGAAGACTCAGAACAGAAGGGAAAGCATACTGCACTCCACCAGCCCTGCTGCCCAAAGCTCAGAGCAAAACCACTGCCCTGAGTCTAGGACGGATGCAGCCTCACCTTCTTCCGGTCTTCTTCATTCTCAATGGGATCCACTGCACAGCAAGGCTTAGCATAGAGCATAAAGTCGAAGCGAGCGTATTTACAGAAACCACAGGCATTGCAGAGAAAGGGGTCCTTTTCATCGTAGTTGATGGACCTGAAGAACGAAAGTGTTTGGGTCGGGGGGACAGAAGAGGTTGGGGCGGGGGAGGGTGACTGAGTGCCACACGCATTGTCTGGAACTGTATCGGGATGACAAGAGGTAAGGGTGACTTACACAACCAGGTAACAAAAAAGGAAGACCCAGCACTAAACCGAAGGACCCCCCACTCCCAGATTACCACGGGACAGGCATGTGTGCCATTCTTCCCATCCCCACCTTCCAGCCTAGGACTCGACAGACCCATAACCCTCCAATTATGCTGAGGGCAGCAGACACTGAAACTGCCCACACTGAGACTCTTGCAGGGGATACAAGGGACATGCATGGCCCTGGCCGGGGCGCCACTCGCTCCCTCACCTGCACTTGTGACACTGGTAGACATTCTCTCCGCAGTTGCCGCAGACCCCCGGGTTGGCGGGGACGGAAGCGCTGCAGCGCGGGCACTGCAGGGTCTCTGTGGAGGCCTGGTAGTTCTCATAGAAGTCCGCAAACTCAATCATCAGGTTGGAGGCCACAATGGGCAAGGGCAGGTCGATCTTCACCTCTGTCTGCCCGGGGGTCAGCTGAACCTTCTTGGCCTTGTGCCAGCGGGCCGGCCTAGAAGAGACAGTGGTAGCTAGAGCGGCAGACGGCCTGAAGGCCACTCATGTACCCCTCGGTGACTGCGGTCTGAGGAGACGAAGAACAAGACTGTCCCCCCCCCGTGCGTTCTCCTAAGGCAGTGAAGTAGTTCCTCTAAGAAGAGATGTGGCAAGTAATAGCAATCTAATTCAAAAAATATTCTCTATAGGGCGCCTGGGTGGCTCAGTTGGTTAAGCGACTGCCTTTGGCTCAGGTCGTGATCCCAGGGCCCTGGGATCGAGTCCCGCATCGGGCTCCCGGCTCGGCGGGGAGCCTGCTTCTCCCTCTGACCCTCTCCTCTCATGCTGTTTCTCTCTCGCTCTCTAATAAATAAATAAACAAAATCTTTAAAAAAAAAAAATATTCTCTATAAAAAAGGATATAACACACAAGTGCTTTAAGGTGTTAGATAATTTTCCAGATTCTAGAAAAACAACGAAGTACATATCAAGAGAAGACATTACTCCAAAAGTATGCCACCCTGAAGCCTATAATCCTAAGATGTGCCGTGTACCACATGCCAAGTAGAGAGAGAAAAAGAAAAGGCACATAAGAATTTAGAATAATCATGTTAATTACAGGTAATATTTATTGGGCACTCACTATGTGCTAGGCTCTGTTCTCAGCACTTTACATACACTAAACTCATTCTAATCCTTAAAAAAAACACCCTGAGAGTGGGCTCATCTCCACTTTACAGTTAAAGAAACCAAGGCTGTAGAACTTCTCCCATGTCCAGAGACAGTAGGAGAGCTGGGATGTGAACCCATGGTCTTGTAGCAGAGTTGGAGAGTTTCACCAGCTGCTGTGCTGAGTCTACACAACAGAAAATCCTCCTCCTCCACAAGGGAGTGGGTTATCCCAATGAGCAGCTTCTACTTGCAGATCACCAATGTGAACTGCTCCTCAAAGGAAGAAAACTTTCTGCAGACAGAGCAGACAGAGCTCCGTGTGCTGATGTGGTAAACTCTGGCTGTATTCTGCCCCTCGGAATAATACCAATACCTCTGCTCCGTGCAAAACAGCACCTTACTATTCAAGCAGCACCTCCCCACGTCCTCTGCCCAACAGCGATGCCTGAGATTTCAACAAGAGTGCTGTCTCTGGAAGTCAACCCTTTACCCCACACCAATGCCTTCTCTGTCCCACATATGACGTGCCTCCATTCAGACACTGGGATACACGAGCTAGAAAGATCCATCACTAGCAGACATAGAGGGAAGGTGCCATGTAGAAATGGAAGGACCGTGCGCCAGAGAAGCTTCTTGATACTGCTGGCTCTGTGAGCAAACAGCATCTTAACCCAAGAAATGACAACTTCTTCCCAACACAGGTGTTATGTAAAACTAGAAGTGCCCTAATAAACATGGGTAGGAGGAGAAGCCTGAAGTCCCCTAACTCAGCTTCCCCTCCCAAGGCAGGCTGTTGAATTGCTTCCTTAGACCCCATGGGCTCCACCAGACAGGATTTTAAAAGAACCTTTGTCAATACCCTTAGGAACCGTGTTTCACTTTTGTCCCCAGTCTTGACTCCAGTGGGTAAGAGGACATACCAGGCCTCTAGAGACGTGCTACTTCACCCGATTCCAGCCATCAAAGCCAACAACTGGTGTTAAGCCCAAAAGCTGCCCCTCCCCAAATCTGAAGGGCCCGTACTTGTTTTTCAATTCCACAATGGCCTGCACGGTTCGGTTGTTGTAATAGAGGTTGATGGTCCGCACCATCTTTGTCCGTTTCAGGTCTCCAATTTTCACCGTCACTTTGCTGATGGTGTGGCTGCCGATGAGCTTCACAACCTGCTGCGTGGTGGTGTACCGCGTGTCCACTTTAATGGAAGACAGCTTGATATACTAAACACGGGAGTACACAAAACACTATCAGTTCAAGGCCACTGGCTCATCCTGTCTTCTTCAAAACTGATCACTGTAACCCACTCTTCATCCATGGATGAAGTTTCCATTTAAGGTGGTTAAGTGTGGCAAGTAAGCATGCATACCACTGGTGACCGAACACCTAGGTGGCCACACTCAATCTCTGGAAACAAGAAACCCACTGGCCCTGCAAGCCTCACGATCACCCATGTTAAAGACGGCACTTACACAAAACGGCACCTCTGGATTATTACACACCAGGCAGGGGTCGCTCTCCAAGTAATAGCCATCAAATTCCACTAAGCCAGACAAGGTGCTAAGGAAGAAACCAGTATCAGCATAAGGAAATCTTCATCTTAGAAAGCAATCGAGCTTCACGAAGAAGCCACGAATGAGCCACGGCTCAATATTCCCTAAATCGAGCCCCACCCTAGTTAAGAACACAGGGGAAAAGTGAGAAATCCCAACAGGGCTTAGAAGTCACAGGAAGGGAATTTCAACCAATCAACCCTAGATGTTTCCTATTTCTGAGCTGTTCTGAGGTCAGAAAAATCCTAAAAACTGACAATAAAATCTGACTCCAAGAAAAGTCACAATTTATTAAATCATTGAATTGTATACTTAAAATAGGTGAATTCTGTGGTATATAAACCATACCTCAATGAACTTTAGAGAAAAAAAAAGAACAGTCACTATTAAACCAGGGAAATAACAACTGCTTGCTTAACTAATAAATACTCTTTCAAAAGTTTTTTTTTTTAATATAGCCATTTTCTGTAAACTTACCTTAACCTGATTTAGACTTGAGACACTTGAAAATTATAGACATTCTCAAATGACTGCTTACCAAAACCTAATTCAGCAGCTATATTTTGAGTACCCTGTGTGTGTAAGGCCCCAGTCACGAGGGAGGGGTTCAAAGACCAACTAGACAGAGGTGTATTGATTCTTATGTAAGAGCCAACCCATGTGGAGATAGCAACTGGGACTGTTGCTGGAGCTTCAAACGGAAAAAGTAGAACAAGCTCACTTGTAAATGTTGGAGTTGGGATGGTTGGTAAGAATATGGTTTTGGGTACGCAGAATCTCCACAGCCTTCTGTGAATATTCCTTCAACTGAAACAGAAGTCAATAAAAGACCACAGTTAAAGCCCAAGGGCAAGTCTTACTGGACTGCTATCCGATACTAACTGCTGTCTAGCTGATGCTGCCCAAGAAGCACCAGACTTCTCAGCCCCCACACAGTCATACGAAGCTGGGCCTAACTCCTACAGGTTTCCACAATCTTTGTGACAGCCATCTTTTCAGACCCTGTGGATGAAGAGAATTTTTATTCCCATGGAAAAGTCATGAAATGGTTATCCAATTGCAGACACTTCTGGGGATGTCATCAGGGCTGCCAGGAAAACGGGGACACCTTCTTTCCTAAAGCAACTTTAATGGGTTGCATTGTCCTCCCCACCTGTTCTCCTGCTCGCAAAGGCAAATTCAGCCTGTACTTATTTGCTAGTGTATGTTATCTGTGTGGTACACATGTTGGCTGGGCTTAACATACATCCAAAGAGATTGCACATGGGCACCATCTATGCGGGTTGGTCATGTTCTTAACTCAAGAGAAAAAAGGTCAAATACGGCAAGTTAGCCCCTCTGACCATACATCGATTGTTACCTTCTTCTCCGTTTGTGGGGTTTTCAAGGAGAAATATCCTAGTAGGTCCACAAACTGGGCAGCCTTACGACCGTAGGCTGGGAGTTCTGGCCATATGGACCACATCAGATCTAGCAGGAGTTCCTGTTGAGATTTGCTAGAGTTTCTGTAGATAAAGGACAGTTCACATTACCAAGAAGCAGAAAACCCTGAGGTCCCTTTTATTTATCAACAAGGCCCAGGTACTGCTTCTACAGATATGTCTATCTCCCGAAAACTAGGGGTTAAGTTCAAATCATTTTGCACTCTTTCAACAGTAAATCCTAACAGGTATAGCTCAGTCCTTTCCTATCTTCAGAACGTGGCCTGAAGAGTCAAGCCCGGTCACTTCACAAACTTCTAAACACAGCCCTCTCAGGCGAAAAGCGATCATCTCTTGCTTAAGATGTCAGTTTAATGGCTAAAAGCAGATAACCAGATGAAGACATCTGTAATAGTCAAGAGGATCCAGGCTGATGTAAATACTGACACTGTGACCGTGAGTGTGCAACACAAAGCAAGACAGAACTACATCAATCACTCGTCTCCTGGACCCATGCAGACCGTCAAAACGTAGCCGGGGACCCTACCTGTAGATATGCAGGGTCAGACAGTGGGCCTGCCAGCGCACCGAGGAAGAATTGGACTCTAACAGGAAGCAACGCAGGAACTGAACCAAGGTCTCCTTATCTGCAAATTTGTTCAGCTGGTTCACCAGAGCTGTGCACAGCTGGTCCTCCTGGCTGCCTGAGCTCTCACCTGCAAGACCAGGGAAGAACTGAGGACTGGAGAGCAGGAAGCGTGCTCTAGGGTCTCAGAGCCAGTGCTCCCAGATGAAGAGGGAGGGAATTCTGTCCACTTCTGAAAGTTTCTTCAACTAAATGGTTCTAATTTGAAAACAACTTTCACTGGTTTATTAGAGAACAAAGGCCAGCCCCATATGAGACATGTGATAATCATGCTACAAAAAAAGCACAGGATAAAGTGCCAACACAGGCCTGACAGTGAGCACACACACAGCTACCCTGGAGGAGGCATTTCCTTTCAGAGGTTTGCTACCCAAAACAGCTAGCTGAATAATTAATCAGGAGAAGGTAAACCACCTCCACTACTCTTCACCCCTATCACCCAACCCAGGCATCCAAGGACCATGAAAAGCAATGAAGCAGGAAGGCTTTTGCCTTTCCAATAGTAAGGAGTCAGCTAAAACAGCTTCCATATGTAGAGCATTTAACAATTTACAAGGCACGTTTACAAGCATCATTTGATGCTGACAACCTCTTCACACGGCAAGTGTCATTTATTATTTCACAGAAAAACAAACTTGGCTTACTAAACTGTTGAGTGCACTTTGACCTTTCCTTGGTATGGGAAGCCACATATTCAAGGTGTAACTGACAATGAAACCAAAACTAGACACTGGAGGGCATCGGAGTTGTAGGTCCTAGATCGGAGTAAAAGCCCTTTCCAAAGAGCAGCATAAGCCACGTGATCCAAGAGAAATCAGAACACCCCGCCCTGGTCACCAAGACAAGAGAGTGACACTTACCCTCTTTCTCCTTTTCCTTTTCTTCTTTCTTGCTCTTCTTCGTGGACTTGGACTGTGTTGTGGCCTGTCCAGAGCCGGCCGCCACAGGCGCTGCGGACGAGGAGGCACTCGAGGAGCCGGCTGAGGCTGCCAGGGCGGCGAGGACTTTGCTGCCACACAGGGCACAGGACAGCAGCTGCAGCAGCACCGGGGACACCCCCTCGTCCACCAGGAAGCTGACTTGGAGGAGGAAGTACAGGACGGCTGCAGGCAGAGGAGACAGGGACGCAGCTCAGAGACAAATGCACTGGACGGACACGTCACGGGAGCCGTGTCTGCACCTGGCCAGCACTGCCCCCTCCCCACCAGCTTGCATTCCCAGTCCTCTCTACCAGATGCTGCCCAGAACTCCCGTCCTCTGCAGAAATGACCTGGTAAACATCCCAACAGCTACCTAAAGATCGGCTCCCAGCCCCCACTTCAACTAGGATGATTCTCTAGACTCCACAGGCTCCTCTTGTCTTTAGACTCCTACTCTGTGCCCCCACAGCACCCCACATTTTATCTATGACCCTTATCGCTCTGAAGGTTTGACTTGTCTTCTTAGCTAGACAAGAGTTCTATCTAGGTGCCTTGCTCAGAGCTTCATCTCTGGCATCCACTTCAGCGCTTGGCACAGGGCAGGCCTCAATGAACAGCTCGCAAAGAGACGAACGAATGCACAACAGCCACCAGAAGTCGCTGCACTGCTTACAGTCGTCTTTGATGCAGAATTTCTGCCAGTTGATGGTTCGTTGGGCAGCAATCTCGGCACAAGCCTTCAGGTGCTCCATCTGAAATGGAAACCAATCGCCAGAACTGAGTAAGGCCACCAAGCAACCCGCACCTACCACCCTGCAGCCTTGAGGGGTCTGTACGAGGCTGCTGACCAGGTGCCCCGGTGAACCTGGGACCAAGGCCCACACACTGCAGCTCTTACTGAGCCTCCTCCGCTCAGCTCCCACCACACAAATGCCCTTCATTGGCAGGGGCCCTTCACGCCACTCAGTAACACAGCAGGAAAGCTAGGCCATGATGGGAAACTACAACCCAGTTTACTCTCTTTTCTTTTCTTCCTCCCTTCCCAGTTTACTTCTTTCTTGTGAAAGCACGACAGTAAGGACACTAGTTTATAGGAATGTATAATACTGAAGACGTTCTCGTCTATAGGCTCCCATGCAATATATTGTTTGCTTCCCCGAAGTCCGAACAATTTATCTTCAGACACATCATTTCTTTAGTATTCAAGGACAAAAACCGGAGGTTGGCAAATTCCAGGTCGACCGTGTCCATATGAGCCAGTAACAGGTAAGAAGCCCAAGCCACTCCTCCCCATAATGGAGGAACCACTACCAGGTAGGAGTGAGAATGGTGAGGGGGAAATCGCAGATCCTGAAGCCAACTACACTTCATATATAGCATTATGGATCCACCCTGAGCTCAACTGTGGCCAGGACGTTCTCTGAATATGTAAAAGCCCTGTACTCCTCCATCCTATTGCCTACCTGGCTGAGCCTCATCACATGCCCTCTCCCTGCCCCACCGACCCCCTCGCCCCTCGTACCAGGCTGATGAGTGTGTCATACTGCAAGGCAGAGCCTGAACTGGCTGTAACCACACTTGCCCGGAGGAATATCCCCTGTTCCTCCAGCAGCTTCTTGATCCCACGCACGTGGGAGTCCAGAGTGTGCAAGTCCCGGAGCTGGCGGTACTTCTCCTTTGACCCACAGATGAAGAGCAGAAGCTTGCGGACTTGACGGCGCACAAACGGAGTTTGCTGGATCATCAGGTACTTGAGAGGAAAGGCAACACCAAGAGTCAATGACTCAGGACCTGTGCCTGCAGCAGCTCCCCGGGTGTCATGAACTATTACTAAAATGGGTAAGAAACACACACCAAGCAATCTCCTCACAGCCAAGCTAGACTGGTGAATTCAGTACTCATTAAGGAGCCGGGAGAAAGCAAGCCGTCAAAGAGGGGAAAACAGCAATATTCCCACTCCCCTCCTGGGAGTCCTTGGGAATCTACAGGGAAGCTGGCCTCCACTCCAGCCCACCCAGAATGAAATGGTCCAGAAAACAGATTCATAATCTTTCAGGTCAAAGAGGTGGGGAAGAGGCTGGGCTGTTCATCTATACAACCCGAAATGGTCATTTGGGGTTTGCTAACAGGTCATTCTTCCCAGAGTTAATCTCAAGCTTGCTGTGACAGCGTGACTACCACCCCTCGGCTGCCTCCAAACCCACCCCACCGCACACTGTACTGCAATGGCCGGCCCAGAAGTGTGTGAACTACACTGCTTGTCTGCCGTCAGGGCCTGCCAACAGGGAACAAAAAGGGACACCAGAGGGCACGAGGAAAAAACACCGGCTCCTTCCTGTCTGCTCTCCTGGCAGCAGCCCTTCGCTCCGGCAGCCTCCACCAGCTCTTCGGTTTGTTCAAGGACAAACCAGTGCGGCTGGTTCTAACCATCAGCTTCTTTCCACACTTCCAGAATCAAGTACATCACACCCCCTCAGAGCTCCTGGGGTACCAGAGGCAGCAGCCCCTCCGCAGGCCGAGTCCTCTTCAGACACACGGCTGCTTGCGGCTGCTGCCCGCACCTGCGGTCTCTGTTTCAACACTCCCTGTTTTTCTCTTTGGTTCTTCAATGGCCCTCCAAACAATTCCCTATATTAAAATCTCTCTGTAATTGAACTAGTATGTTTTCTGTTTTCCAGACGGAGTCCAAATTATTAAACTCGTCCCTTACCGTCATATGCGGAAAGAGTCAAACGCACAGAATGAGAAACTAAAGCCATGGCCTGTTGTGACATCCATCTTCCACGGCTTCACCACACAGTACACCCGGGGCAAGGCCCACCAGCGTGAGTGGCGCTGCTGGGGGAAACGCTCCCTGAGGGTGAGGACGGAAGGGGGCCATAGAGGCCGTCAGAGCCAGGGTGCCTGGGTGGCTCAGTCGGTTAAGCGCCTGCCTTTGGCTCAGGTCGTGATCCCAGGGTCCTGGCATCGAGCTCTGAGTCAGGCTCCCTGCTCAGCGGGAAGCCTGCTTCTCCCTCTCCCCACTCGTACTTGCGCGCACATGCACGCTCTCTCTCTCAGATAAATAAAATCTTTTAAAGAATAGGAAAAAAGGCCATCACAGCCGAGGTGTCCTCTCCTTGAATGGCACATGGCCTGCGGCCTTCGCTTACCTCCGAGAGAAAGTAAAACCACGAATGATCAAAGACAGGAGGTGGGATTCGAGAGTTGGTGTCGGCAATCTTCTTGATTTGGTAAGGAAGCCTCAGGACCATCTCCGTCAGAAGCTGAGTATAGGCCTCAAACACATCAGCAGCATGACCCTGGGGGAAGAACATGTGTAAGGACCTGTGACGGACAGTTGTCCACAGCCACAATTAGGAAAAGGGCTAGTTTACTGCTCATTAGGCATAGCTTATATTGGAGCTGGTAAATGGTACCTTTCAAAGCTAGAGTCATCACTGCCTGACAGCTTGGTTTAAACCCAGCAAGGCCCCAGGCTCCGATGGACACAGATCTCACTTGTCTTAAAAGTTCCAAAATTACACTCTGTGGGTTTTGACCCTGGACTGGCTGTATTCTGCTTACACAGAAATTAAACTTCTAATGGGAAAAACAGTGGTGGTGAAGGATTTCTGACTTCCTGTGAGAGATGCAGTCTATTCCCCTAGAACCAAAACCTTCTGGGATAATAAGAGATATTTAAATAAACCAGGGTGGTGGCTCCTGGGTGGCTCAGTCAGTTGAGCAGCCAACTCTTAATTTCAGCTCGGGTCATGATCTCAGGGTCCTGGGACGGAGCCCCACTTTGGGCTCCGCACACAGAAGGGAGTCTGTTTGAAAATTCTCCCTCTTCCTCCGCCTCTCCCCTCACCCGCATGCGTGTGTCCGTGTGCACGCGTGCTCTCTTTCTCTCCCCACCTCTCTGAAACAAATAAATCTTTTAAAAAGAAAGAAAGAGACCAGGACGGCCAGATCACTTAATGCATATCCCACAGAGGAGGAGGAGCTGAGGGGTGTGAGGATGGTAGAAGCGGTAGCTGTCCTGCAGGCCGCATGGTCCCCCGGGAAGAGCCTGCAAGAATTTGGGGCACAACATGTCTCACGTATTCAATCACCGGTTACTCATCGGGTCTTTGCCAAGCAACTGGGGGTGCAAACAAGGGAAAGACTCCACATGTGTACACAGGATGCTCTGGGGACCCGGGGAAAAGCCATCTCTATCTGACCTGCTAGCAGGAAGTGCATGTTGGGGAGGGTTTTCCCAGGACCCAGTGTGTGAGCCGGGTCGTGAAGGACTAGGAATTAGCTTAGAGGGGAAGGAAGTAATGGCAGAGGGAGAGAAGTTCAGGAGGACAGCAAGCAGGAAGGCAGTGTGCCACGTCTGGGGCAAGGCACAGGACGGGGGCTGCGTGCCAGGGTGCGGTCGTGACACAGCTAGAGAGCTAAGTAGACAGCTGGGTCCTCAAAGAACTTTTTGGCCTAAAAGTTATAGAAAACCAGCAAAGGGTTAAGAAAAGAGAAGGACATGATGCGATTCACGTTTTGTGCCTGTTCTATCCCTGTCTCAGTCAAAGCAGCTGGGAGCGTGCAGCGAGGAACACACTGGTGCCGCCGCTCAGACGCAAACGTGCAGAAACGGCAGGGACGACAGACAGGAACAGGCCCCAGGGCACTTAGCACGGGGCTTGACTGCGTCAGATCACCCAGTGCTCCCAACGACCCTACACAGCAGATCCCGTGTGGAGCCTCAGTTTCCAGGTGTGCAAACCGAGGCACACGAAAGCCGCACAGAACTTGTCCGAGCTTCACGGCTGGTAAGTGGCAATGCTTGTTCCTGACTCCCCTGATCAGAGAGATTATCTTTTTTTTTTTTTTTTTTTTAAAGATTTTTTATTTTTATTTTGAGAGAGAGAGAATGAGAGACAGAGAGCACGAGAGGGAGGAGGGTCAGAGGGAGAAGCAGACTCCTCGCTGAGCAGGAAGCCCGATGTGGGACTCGATCCCGGGACTCCAGGATCATGACCTGAGCCGAAGGCAGTTGCTTAACCAACTGAGCCACCCAGGAGCCCCAGAGAGATTATCTTCTAAACTAGCTCCCTCAAGGGCCTCTGATGACAGCAGGGGGAGTCTCTGACACACACACACACACACACACAACACACACACATACAAGGACATGATCCACCTCTGACGTCACCCTGTGCCTGCTCACCTTTTTCTAAGGAGCTTAACATGAAAGGACAGACCAGTCTGATTTCATTCAGTTCCTCTGCTTTACACGTTGTCAAGAGTCTGCACCCCAGCAGAAGGGTGGGAGAACTGGTTATTCACTAAACTGCACCGAGATCAAAGCCCCCCCAAGGCACTCGGTCTGCCTCCTGCAGCTCCCTGCCCTTGGCTCCTTCAGCCCTACTCACAGACGGCGAAGAGGAGAGTGCTCTGGAGGGCAGGAGCGGTCCTTCGTCCAGGGAAAGGCCTCACCTTCACATACTGGCGGAGGAAGAATGGGCTCATGTCCGGTGGGGATGAAGTCGTATGTGGTTTCAGCAACTGGCTGGTAGCCACGGGCTCCTCGTCGTTCTGCTGGCTCTTCCAATACTCCAGCAGAGATTTGAGCACATGCAGGCAGTAGTCCACGGCACCGGAGCTCAGCAGGGCCGAGGCTGTGGCGCTGGAGATGAGGGAAGACGACTGGGGGGAGACAAGGAGGAGGCCAGAAAGGCTTATGAGACCGCTGGGGGCAGGAGTAGGAAACTCCCCGGCAGTAGGCTCCGGGTGGGCCATCGGGGGAGGGAGCTCATCTCTTGAGTTAGAGGTCCCCCAACTAACTCAAACACTCCCCCCAACTCTTTCCAACAATGGCATGGTAAGAACCAACCAACCCCAGGTCCCAGCTCCACTCGCCCACACACAGGTGCGAGACGCCAAGGGGGCAAGGACTGGATAACCTTTCTCCTGGGAGGGGCGGGTTTTCTTCTTCGCTGGGCAACTAGAAAAGAAGCCCATTTCAAGAACAAGAGAGAAAACTTTCCACTCTAAGCACTTTTTAGCAACCCCACCCTCCCGGTAGGGGCTCTCCCCACCAAACTAGCTTCTAAAGGAGATGGGGTAAGTGATCACATGAATAAAAAGCAGGAGAAAAGCCACTGTAAATAAAACCATTAGGAGAGCCTTGCAAATCCCAGCAAACCCCACAGCTCATAAGCTCATTAAGATTGGATGCAGTTCAGCCTCCATTCCTACCTTCTCTGCTTTGTGTTAATCTCCTTTCCACCACGCACACACTGCTTTCTCTCTGCTTTATTACCATACCTTATAGCAACACACAGTAGGGGAATCCTCTTAGCCACCCTGTGCCTTGCAGAACAGTCCCCTCCTTTCAATAATGGGAACTTCCAAACCCTGTAACCCCTCCAATGGAGGGATTGCTGGCGAAGATCAGGGCTTGGAAGGGATTCTGAAAAAGGTGGTGGCTCTGCTCTTCAAGAGGTGACAGCTTAGAATCTTTCTCCTCTAGAGTGACAACAGCCTATTCTAACTATCACCTCTGCCCTCAGCCCTAGCACCAACCAGACAATCCTCTTACCTTTCCCCACACCCATGTGCTCAAAGCAACAGTACCTCACAGATGGAAGACTTGGATCCGGATTTGGTCCGGGACATGAAGACACTCAGGAGTCTCATTACTACCAGATGGACTTCATTCAGGGCACTGCGCTCATTCTTCCTGGAAACGTCCTGTAGGCAGAAGCAGAGCCCAGAAGCCCACACTTACTTCAAGCTTGAGGCGTCCTCTCAACAAGGTTCCCTCCAGCCTATCAGCACTAACTGTTCCTCACCTGAAATCAGAGTCAAAACAGGCACCAACGCCTCCATGGACTACACCCGGATTACCTAGAGCCCGATGTGCTTAAAAGGCCGTATTAAGATACAAACAACTAATTTATTGTTTTCAGCTTAGGGAGCTACAAAAGGTCCATAAGGACAGGGACTTGGTCTGTTCCTCATTTACGTCCAGATCCAACAGGAGTCCTGGGCCAAAGGAGGCACTGCCAACATTTTTGTTGAATCCACAGAACTGGAGCCCTCAGTGGGTGGTTATGCCCAAAACTAAGTGAAGTTCCTCTAAGAGAAGGATGACAAGCTGTAAACGGACCTCAGTCCCTGTTTCTCACATGGCAGGACTCTCCAATCCTACCTTTTTGTCCATGCCCAGTTCAGCAATTAGCTGAGAGAGCAGGTTATCCAGGGCCCCCTTGTCTTTCTCATCTTCTCCATCCAGATCTGTAGTGAGCATCAGGATGACCTGGAAGTCAACAGAGAGGTAAAACATGAGCTCCAGGACCCTAAAGACGACTCCAAACGCAGGGGGTTCAGAAGAAATCCCAATCTTCCTGACTGCCCTGTCAATCATAACTGCAATCCAGGAGAAGGTCCTACATCCCAAGGTATCCGAAGTTTAAGTGTCCAGAGTCAGAAGTGTCAATTTTTGGCATGTGCCACACTTGGCATCACAAAAAATGTTTTGCAAAGAGTTTGCAAAACGAATTGACTAAACTACATTATAACCAACCAAAGTGGCTTGACAGAGGACAGTGTGCTGTGCTCAAAAGTAAAGAACTTTCTGCCTAAGAGGAAGGCAGCTAGTGGGAGAACAGCTACCAGACGACATTCCAACACGGTGTTAATAAAGACTCACTACACACTACGAATCTCTGGGGCAGACATTTGCTCCTGGCTCTGTCAATAACTAGCTGGATGACTGCGGACATCTTTTTAAATTCTCTGACCCTTGGCCTTTTCATCTAGAGAGTTAAGGGCTATAACTTGCAGTTCAAAACTGCATTCCATTATTCTATGACCTAACACCAACAAAAGCCTAGAGCCTCTAGAAGAGAGATGTGAGCATGCTGAAGGATGGTCCAACCATAATGTGACAGACCCAGATGAACTGAGGGATACCTGCATGTACGGGATGGCCCGGACACCTCCAACATTTCGTAACTGGGGCAAGGTTTGCAGTAGTCTCTCCAACAGCATCAGACGGACCATGTGCAGTCTAAAAGGCCAAGGAAAATACATGAGATGTGAGCTAGTTCACAACCACTAACCAGCTGAATATAGTTCCTTCCTCCTGCCACCAAAGTAAACAAGGAGCCTACTGCTTAGAAACAATCCTACCATTAGCAAAATGTTCAGAAATGCCTATTTGGTAACACCACCAACACAGAAGGAGCAATCTCGCTCTGTTAAAAGGAACAAACTAATTCAAAATACAACCGATGGCCCTGAAAGCCTGCTATGGGAAAAGTTAATATTTCTCAAACAATCAGCCCTAGTTCTCAGCAGCAAAATCAAACCTTTAGTAGTGCACTCTATGGCCTTTTCCAACACATGGCCACATTCTGCCTCCAGGCATTATCTTCTGGGATTCCTCCATATACAAAGTCTGCATCGTCTGGTTGCACAGTGACCCAGTCCTTTCTTTTTCTTGCTTCCCAGAAGGCCTGGCACTGCTTTACCCTCTCAACTCGCCTACCATTTTTCCTAATGGGAAATTCAATCTCCACTCTACCCTTTCCACACTGGACCCGTGAGTTCTCCCGTATATTCAACTGGGCACTAACTAAGCCTTCTTCATCTGCAGATACACAGCTGGGCTTCCCTACTAAATGTGTGCCTCAAGATCTATAGTGAATATGCTGATTCAAGAGAGGACCAAAATGAAAATGAATTAATTAGGGTCCTGTTGACAATTTGGCTGGCAGTCTCACCTAACACAATCTTACACAGATGAAGAACACATTTGCTGAATCAATTAATGGCTTCACTCTCATAGTTCGTCAACTGTTCTTGCTTCATTTTACTTTATAGACTGTGTATAACAAACCACAAACCTACATATGCATAAAAAAGTGATTTTCCTGTATTACATATCCTAGGAGATATCCAGAATATTTTCAAAATATTAAAGTTTGAATCAAAGTATGGGGTCTTACTTGATCAATAAATGCCCATGATTCCAAAAGTAACTCAAAGGAATGAGCTAATAAAAGTCCTTCAGAATACGGTCACACATAAAAGCTCACACATACATCCAAAGAATAAAGCAAGCTGCGTGGGGACCACAAATGAGTAAGAATTGCTCAGGAATGTACAAGATATAGCAAAGAAAAGTAATAGGATGGTAGCAGTTCAAATTTAGCAGTTCACTTTATACTTTCAGGATAAAACACAGCAAGCTTTGAGATGGATGAAAATCTTCAGATTGGCAGAACATACTTGTGAATACATATGTATGAATGAAAAAGTCAACAAAATGAGCAAAGTCTGGACCCGGACCAAGATGTTGCCAGACTGTTGGCTTTTCAAACTTTTAGAATCTAACATAAAAAGTAAACCCTATACCAAAAATTACAATTTCTTTTTCTTTGTGACTTAAAGTAAAAACAAGTTAGTTATTATCATTATTATAAACAAGTCATTTAACAATTGCTCGATTAACTTATCCCTGAAAAAAAAAAAAGTTTGCTTAAAACCACTTTAGGAGTGCCTGGGTGGCTCAGTCGGTTGTCTGCCTTTGGCTCGGGTCATGACCCCAGGGTCCTGGGATCGAGCCCCGCGTTGGGCTCCCTGCTCTGCAGAGAGCCTGCTTCTCCCTCTCCTCCCCACTCCTGCTCTCTCTCACTAGTTCTGTCACTATCTCTCTCTCTCAAATAAATAAACAAAATCTTAAAAAAAAAAAACAAAAAACTTTAGACTTCTATTACTAACATGGCTAGGTTACCTAAAATGGCCCTCCTAAAAACACTAAAAATCCTAAAAAGACAGAACATCATTTTAGAAGCAATGCTGTGTCTCAAGAAACGTGAAAGGATTGAAATCACATAGTATGTTCCCCAACCATAGTAAATTAAACTGTAAATTAGTAACAGAAAAATAATTAGAAAATCCCCAAAGGTTTAGAAATTTAGCAACACACTTCTAAATATCCTACAGGCCAAAGATGAAAATCAAAACAGAATTTAGAAAACATTCTGAACTGAAGAGCAATAAAAATATAACACATCAAAATATATGCCAAAGCAGACTTTAAAGCAAAGCACAGAGAGAAATATTTAGCTTCAAATATGTATTTAATAAAATCAATGATTTAAGCTCCCATCTTCTTAAGCTAAAAAAAGAACAAAGAAATCTCAAAAGATAATATAAAAGCTTTTATTAAGCAGAGAAAGAAAATATTAACAGTGGAAATAAAACAGAGAGCAGACATAAAACAGAAAAATCAAAGCTAAAAGTCAGTTCCTTGTAAATAAAGTTGGTAACTCCAAGGAAAACCGACCTTTGAAAAAAGAACACACCCATAAGTTACCAACATTAAAAATGGAAAAAAGTACATCACTACAGACCCTTAAGATATTAAAAGCATGATTAAGAAAAAAAAGGTCATGGGGGCTCCTGGGTGGCTCAGTTGATTTCAGCTTAGATCATGATCTCAGGTTGTGAGATCGATCTTCATATCTGGGCTCTGTGCTCAGCGTTCAGTGGAGAGTCTGCTTGAGATTCTGTCCCTCTCCCTCTGCCCCTCTCTCCTACCCATGCGTGTGCATGCACTTTCTCTCTAAAATAAATTTTTAAAAATCTTAAAAAAAAAAAGATTATGAACTTTATGCCAATAAAGTCAACAACTTAAATAAAATGAACAAATTCCTTGAAAAGCACAACATACCAAAACTGACATAGGAAGAAACAAATAATTCTGTATCATTTAAAGAATGAACCTGTAATTTTAAATCTTCCTTTAAAGAAAGTCCAGACCCAGATGACTCCACTGCTGAATTTTTACAAGAATTTACAGACGAAATAGTATCAGTCTCACACGAACTTTTCTATTTTTTTCTTGCTTCCAAGAGTCGGACACTTAACCAACTGAGCCACCAGGTACCCCTGTATTTGTGATGTTTTCTGATGTCTGCTACTCAAATAGATCTTAAGAAGCCATAAATAATTAAGCACAGTGATTTTTTTTAAAGAAAAAAATATTACGAGGTATGGAAAAGAAAACGAGATGGTTAAATCATGTATATAAGTAGAGTCCCAGGAAGAAAAATGACGGAAAATGAAGCCGAAGCAATATCTGAAGTTAACAGATGAGCATTTTCTAGAATAAAAGACACTAACCCAAACATTCAAGATTCCCAAAGACCACTAAGCAGAACAAATGTAAAGAAATCGATCCTAGGCACCTGGGTGGCTCAGTCGGTTAAGTCACTGCCTTCGGCTCAGGTCATGATCTCGGGGTCCTGGGATCAAGCCCCACGTCTCGGTCTCTGCTCAGCGGGGAATCTGCTTCTCCCTCTCTCTCTGCACCCCCCAATTGTGCATGCACGCACACTCGCTCTCACTCTCCCTCTCTCTCTCAAATAAATAAAATCTTAAGAGAAAAAAGAAATCCATCCTAACTGTATCCCAAAAAACAATAACAAAGATCTTATAAGCAGCAAGTAAGGACACTATTTTCAAAGAAGCAGTGGTTATGATAGCAGGTGACTTCTTACTGGCAGTAATAGTGGATATCATTTTCAATTTGGGGGGAGAAAAACTATCAGCACAAAACTGTATACCCATCAAAAACGTGTCCAACAAAATGTGAGCTGAATGAAGACATTTCCAGACTAAGAAAATCTGCTCAAAAGTAGTGGCCCTCCCCTAATGGAAAATCTAAATGACGCACTTCAAGAAGAAATGATCCCAGACAGAAGGTCTGACATGCACAAGCAAATGTTGAACACAGAATGTGGTAAACATGTGAGTAAATCTGAACAAACACTGACCACGAAAACTACGTGAAATAGCAACAATACCTTGAAAGTTTCAAAGGCCTTTTTTTTTTAAGATTTTATTTATTTATTTGACACAGAGAGACACAGCAAGAGAGGGAACACAAGCAGGGCAAGTGGAGAGGGAGAAGCAGGCCCCCCGCTGAGCAGAGAGCCCGATGCGGGGCTCGATCCCAGGACTCTGGGATCATGACCTGAGTCGAAGGCAGACACTTAACGGCTGAGCCACCCAGGCACCCCAGGCCTTTTTTGAAAAAGAATTGAAACACACAAAAATAACAGCTTAGGGCGCCTGGGTGGCTCAGTTGGTTAAGCGACTGCCTTCGGCTCAGGTCATGATCCCGGAGTCCCTGGATCGAGTCCCGCATCGGGCTCCCTGCTCGGCAGGGAGCCTGCTTCTGCCTCTGACCCTCCTCCCTCTCATGTGCTCTCTCTCATTCT